GACACTATTTTGCATGAAACATAGATTATTGAGTATCTAAAGACCTATTAGAAAAATACAACTAGCACATTATAGCTGTGAGTTTTGCAGATGCTATTGCTTAAGGTGAGGCTAAGTTATAAAGAGAAGAAAAAAAAGAGTAGGTACAGTGGCTCATGCCTCTAGGTGCTATGGCTCAGCTCTCTGGGAGGCCGAGGTCGGGGGATAACTTGAGTCCTGGAGTTTGAGACCAATCTGGGCAACATAACAAGACCCTGTCTCTCAAAACATTTAAAAATTAGCCAGATGTGGTGGTGCATGCCTGTAGTCCCAGTTACTCAGGAGGCTAAGTTGGGAGGATCATTTGAGCCCAAGAGTTCAAAACGCTAGTGAGCTATGATCATACCACTGCACTCCAGCCTGGGCAATGGAGCGGGACCCTGTCAAAAAAAAAAAAAAAAGTGAGTTGATTTAAAGTTAATTTTAAAAAGTATTAAGAAAATGAAGGTCTGGATGGCACAAAGTTACGATGGGAACTGTGGAAGGGGACTGTGGATGACTGAGGTGTGGAATGGGGTGAGAGTGGCCAGTGTTTCCTGAACCTCCTTGACCATCGCCTGGGGAGGGCTCCCGCACCCATCAGAAGTGTGGCTGGTCCATCCTGGTGAGTGTTTTATTGAGAGGAGTCCCACCCTGCTTTACATCTCAGGCTGCTGGTGGGTGCACTTCTGCGTCTCATTGGCAATGCAATTACTGGCACCATGGGAGGCCTGCAGGTTCAAAGCTAGTGATGAGAAATCTAGTTCACCCCTTTCAGAAATAATGGTTTGGTTTAGGTGGCGATGGTGGTGTTTCATCAAAGAAAAACTCCACCAACCCATAAAAGACAAGTAAGAACACAGAGCCTGGTGCTCCTTTGTCGGCGGGAAACTCCAGGTGAGAGGCTGAGCCTGCCTGACTGGTCTCCTCATTGTCCTCTCTTCCTCTTTTTCCATGGCGGCTGCCCAGGACATAGGTCCTCCAGGTGCAGGTGAGAAGGGACAGTCATGGAGCTGTACCACTGAGTTTCCCTGAGGCATCCACATGACAAACACTTGTACCTTGTAACTTTGGGCTGATGCACGGGTCAAAGCATGTGGCTTGTGCTGACTCAGAGGCCACCTTCCTTGGAGCCTGGTGGCAGTCTTTGCTCCTGTATTTTAAGACTGTGGGTTTTGGGGACTGACAGGTGGGCAGCAAGGCAGCCCTGTGCTTCCTGAAGTCATCTATGCCACTGCCCCTGCATGTGCTGCCCCAGGGAGGGAGGGCTCATCCATGGTTGGAGGCTTGGAGACGCAACGTGGACTTGTCTTGCTGGTGTTCGTGAAGTGCTATGGCATCCTCGGGTGGCCAGGTGGTCAGAGGGACCTGGGTGGTTGGTGGAGAGTGAGGAGCAACAGTGTCACCTCCCTGAAATGGTGGGGAAATAGAGGAACCTCACCCTCAGGGAGGGACTGCCTGACTCTGCCATGCCCACACTGCCTCCTTGTTTCTGTCCCAGTGGCCGGTGGAGACTGGTTACCTCAATATTTGGGAGTTTCTGAGGATGCCTCCAAGGAGAATGAGACATAATTTCTACCCTGGTGGAATTTGCAACATAAATGGAGAGCCAAGGCCAACCCTCCTGGGAATGACCTGTGCAAGGCAGGGGTGCTAGGGCACCAAGCCCGTCAGGTGTGGGCGCTCAGGGACAGGAAGTTCAGGGTGATAGAGAACTCCACAGCATAGATAGGCATAAGGGAGGACATCCTGGTGTCCCCTAGGTGGGCAAAGGCAATGAGCCCTGAGAAGGAGGTGGGAGGAGGGCTGGTTGGTGGGTGCAGCATGGTGCAGCTCCTCTGTGAGACCCCAGGATGCAGCACAGTGCATAGCAAACAGTACATGCTCAATAAATATTTGTTGAACTGAACTGAATGGGACCACAGCTTTGGCTGCTTATGTGAATGCCAGGGCTGGTCTCTAGCGTAATGATTTTGGAAAGCATCTACTGGGTCCCTGCCCTGTCTTGGATTCTGGAACCCAGAGTCCCTACAGAAGCCATGCTCTGGTGCCATCACCCGTGGAGCTGGCAGCAGAACCCACTGGGACCAGATTCCCTGGCATCTCGCAGGGACCTTCCCCCCGACCAGCTCCTTTTATTAACTCAGTGTTGAAGGAGTTGCCCATTGCTAAGGAAGGATGGAAATTAAAAATAACGGGGTGTGTGCGTGTCTGTGAAGGTGACGACATAAAGGTAATGCCACTCACTGTGAAAGGTGGTATCATTCGCAACTCGGCGACTCCAATCTTCAGTGCATTTTGGCCTTTTCTGAATTGCTGCCCCACTCAGCCCCAAGTCAAAAATTTGTTTACACGAATCAGATTTTCAGCTACTCATTCTGTTGCAAGAAGAAGTAAGTTGTGTGTGTGCGTGTGCACGCGTGTGTGTATTTCATACATTTATGGGTTAAAATCAGACCCTGCGTTTCCATTGTTTTTTATCTCTAAGTTAAAAGCTTTTCCCTGAATCTCTTCTGATGCATCTCTCTAGAAACTCCCAGACTGGGCTAGGCTGAAATTTAAACACACACACACACACACACACACACAAACACACACACACACACCCTACACACACTCATTTCAGACTACACTGAAAAACTGCAAAAGAAAATAAGAACTCCTGCAACAGGAAAGGAACTTTCAGTTTTCACTTCCAAGTTTGGCAGCCTGGTGAACTTGAAAGGTTAGCTATGAATAAGCATAATCAGATCTTTCTTTTTGTCCATATTTAATTCAAATGAGACAGCTCTGTGTTGACTTCTAATACAGAAAGGCCACCCACCATGGTGGCGCTCCCAGCCAATGAAGCCGGCTGGTGAAAGCTTTCTTAAATGGTGCTAATCAGCCCGGAGAGGCCTGCCCTCTATCCCCATCAGTATTCTATAATTCAGATGTGCTGATAACCTGAAATTGAATGTGTCAGGATGCAGACATGTGAAGGGAAGAGGGAACTCCAGGCTAGAGGAGCCGGGTGGCTGGGAGACAATGCTGGGGGGAGGGGATTTCACACCCTCCCCTGATCCCCCCAGCCCACCCCCCGCAGTTGTGCCTCTGTGTGTGTGTGTGTGTGTGTGTGTGTGTATTCGTGTGCACACATGTGTGTGTGTTATTGTTCAGGGCCAGAGACAAAATGGAAGGTTTCAAGTTCTGAAATATTTATAGGAAAGCTTTGGATTTTGTATATGTTAAATGAATCAACAGACGTTTTGGCTGCTAAGGGGTGAATGGTAATTTGCGATTAATTTTTTTTTTGAAGCCAAGGCTATTTTAAAACCTTTTTCCCACTTTCTCATGTAAGAGACAGACAGACACACACACACCCACCCCAGTCTGGTGAGCACGTCTCACAGGGAAGTTTAACAAAAGAGTCGCTATTGTCACTGTCCCAGCCGGCAGCAGTGCAGCTGAGGGTCAGTTGCTATTTCTATTTTAAACCTTGATTTTTGCAAAGTTTGTCTTTTGACTGTTCTCATTCTAATCAGGCTTAGTTAGGGGATCCGCTCCAAGCTCCACACCAGGCTGTGAGGACAGAGAAAGATAAACCGGGGGGATTAAACAAAAAGTTCTGCTCTGTCAATAGTCGTGTGTGTGTGTGTGTGTGTGTGTGTGTGTGTGTGAAAGAGAGAGAGAGAGAGATTCATTGACCAACACTCATCTCACAGCCATTTCTTTAATTTCAAAGAAAGTGCAATTTGTTACAGAGCTCTGCCTTCTGTGAGCTGGTGCCTTTGACTCTGCATGTGATTTGTTGGGTGTGCCTTCGGGGTGCTACCTCTTCAGTCTCCCGCTTGTGCCCCATGACTTTATGTCCCTTGAAGACAGGGGAACAGCAGCTGCAGCCTCAGTCGTGTCTTCAGTCCCTCAGTCCAGCCCAAACATTTCCCAAATGCTCGGGTGCAATCCTCTGCCGGCCTCTGCTGCTGCCAGGAGTCCAGCCCTCTTCAACTTTGCTGGTTGATGTCTTGATCAGCTTAGAAGCCGCCTGAATTCTGCACCTTCCCCCACATGCTCTTCCAACCTCCCGCTCCTGCAGGTCTGGAGGGACCTTTCCTTCTGCAGGTCTCCCTTCATCAGAGCATCTGTCACTCCATCCTGGTTTAGAGACATCTGCATGCCTCTAGTGTGTCCTACTGTGTGATGTGCTTCTTAAGGGCTGAGTGTGTCTGAGGCACCTTGTCCACCCCGCACCTCCCTCTGTACAGAAATGGGCAGTTGCTGGGGAGACACACTCAGGAAGGGGCTGAATTGCGTGTGGTCCCTGCTCAGGGCTTGCCATATTCAGAGGAAAGGGCAGCGAGGGGAGACAGGCTGGGACTAGGCAGGATAGTGGAGATATAGAAGCTGCCTTTTTTCATCATGGTTCCAGCTGGTGTCACCTTGTCATCTCCCACTCAGTCCAGGCTGGCTGTAGGGACACAGGTCTGCCCTCCCAATCAGGTGGGTACTCTTTTCTTCAGAGCTCATAGTTTTTCTTCCTAAGAGACTCCTCTGTCAAAGGGTAAGAATAAGGTCCCAGGTTTTTCTTTTCTTTCCTTTTTCTAAATGTATTTTGAGACTCAGGGCCTTGATCTGTCACCCAGGCTGGAGTGCAATGATGTGATCATGGCTCTCTGCAGCCACAGTCTCCTGGGCTCATGAGATCCTCCTGCCTCAGCCTCCCAAGTACCTAGACCTACAGGCACATACGAACATGGCTGGCTAAATTTTTTTAGAGACGGGGTCTTGCTCTGTTGCCCAGGCTGGAGTGCAGTGGCACAATCACAGCTCGCTGCAGCCTTGAATTCCTGGGCTCAAGCAGTCCTCCCATCTCAGTCTCCCGAGTAGCTGAGACTACAGCCACAAGCCACCACGCCTGGCTAATTTTTAAATTTTTTTGTAGAGATGGGGTCTCGCTTTGTTGCCCAGGTTGGTCTCAAACTCCTGAGCTCCAGTAATTCTCCTGCATCAGCCTCCCAAGGTGCTGGGATTACAGGCGTGAGTCACCACCAGGCCAAGGTAACTTCTCATCTCCATCCCCATCACGGTCAGACTGATTGGCACCATGTGGCCTGTCATCCAGAAAGACCAAGAATCCTTCCCTGTGGTTTGGACCCAGTGGTGGCTTCCCCAAGGGAACGGTTGGCATGTGTTTAATTATTCATTGGTGTTCTCGTCTGTATCTCTCTGCTCCTTGATTGTTTTGTCTTTCCCTAAAAATATTTATTTGAAATTCTGTGATCAAAGACTGAAAAACAAAATAGAGCAGGATATTAAAATGAAATTTTTTTAAGGGAGGTTGGAATGTCAAGATCATTTTTATTAGAAAAGTTTACAAGATGAAGCCACGAATTATTTACGTAAACTTCATATATCAAGCATAATACTCCCAACTGTGCTTTTGGTGAGTGATATTGGCAGGCAGAACTTGGATTTAAAATACCTTCTACTTAAGGCAGGAAGAATGCATTTTAATTAAAATTAACGGATTTTTTTTTTTCTTGATCATATTTTAACACACACATACTCACTCACACACATCTGTGTTCAGAATTGATAAAGAAAGAACTCTGGTTAAATAATCCACTTTTGTCTGACAACGGAATCCGTTATAGAGGTGCAAATATGCAGAAAGCTATTTGGAAATGCATCCTAGTAGTTGTCAGGTTTTATTATGCAGGAAGGTGTCATGTTTGTTACGAAGCTGAGTGCAGATGGCAGAGTGGAAGAAATGGATCACTAATTTTAACAATGATTAATGAACAGAGATAGAAAATGAATTACATTGGACTATCGGAGGCAAGAAATATTTTTGTGAAAATTTTGACTCATCTGCTGTGCTGTTCTCTGCAAATTATTTTCAGAAATTCTATATGTTGTCAACAGTTGACTGCATTTTCCATTACTGTCTATTTCTGTTCTTAAGTACTTTTGTGTTATTAGAGATACATAATTTCAAAATACCAATACATTCCTGATTACTTAGAGCAAATATATGTAACAGTGTGACTGTTCCATAGACACTAGCCATAAAAGTCCTGTTTTATAATAATCTTTCATTCTTCCTCATTTTATCACTACATTAGGAATGTTTGATAAGAAGAAAAGGGGGGGACTCTTCTAGCACACTCAGAATAAAGGAAAAATAGAGCAAAGGTAGGAATAAAAATGTGGTCTTGGTGGCTTATTGTGGTGTTGAGCTGCTACCAACCCTGTCCATCTTTGCATCCCCTGCCTGGCATCATGGGAGGGAGGGGCCAACTCCTTCTCTGGCGTTAGCCTCTGCCATTCGTGGCACACCCCGTCCTGTCCTCTGTGGGTGCGGCTTCAGGCATCTCCCGACTCCCTGTCTGCCTTCAGACACAGAGAGTCTCACCAGTTTGTGAAGTTGTCCCAGCGATTATTTTTTCCTCTATTAGACCCTTCCTTACTTTAGTTCTTTCTCTCTGCTCCAATGACCCTGGTATTGATAGTGAGTTTTCACGGTGCTTTGTGAGTCTCGCTTTCTTTTTCAGCTTATCAGCAATTGAGTGTGTGTGTGTGTGTGTGACAGAGACACACACACACACATACACACAGAGATCTGCAAAGGAATACAGCTTATTTGTTTATGATATCTGTTCGTGGCAGGAGGCACACCTATATGGTTTCTCATATGGAAAAAATGGATAGTGATTTTCTTTTCTTCCATCTTCCTCCCCAGCCTCCCTCCCTTTCTCTCCCCCTCTCATCCTTCCCTCCCCCCAAATATATTAACCACATTAAATATATTGACTTCAGGGCTTCTCATTTTCCTGAGATCCTTTGCGATAGAGAAATGATCTACTAGTGTTTAGATCCTGCATTGTAATTGGTAGGCACTTAATTTCACTCATCAGGACCCACTTTAGTGGTGACATGAGTACATTTCATAGTTAGTAAATTTCAGGATTCTTACTATTGCGGGAACACCCAATCAGAGCTCAGCCGTGCGTCTATGGTCGGTGCTATTAGTCTACCTCTCATCCCATCATGATTTAACACTTGGCTTGGATGTTAATTTGAATTAAAACTTTACCTATATAAGAGTATAATTCTGGTGTGGTTTTGACAACCCCCATTCTTTCCCCAAGAAGGATTCCCTCAAGACAGGATGACAGGGTGCTTCTCGACCCTCCCAGGGAGCACTGGCTCTCTAGAGCCCTGACGTTTTTGTAGGACGAAGCTGCCTCCTGAGAACTGCCTGGTGTCTGAACAAATGGACGATCCATAACTACTTCCTTCTCCTACAAACGAGCTTTCCAAGTTTTCAACTTGACTGTTTTATTTATGCTCTTGACCTGTAAAAACAAGCAGGCTGTTTAAAAAGCAAAAAGTACTTCCCATGATTAGAGTACTTAGAGTTGAAATAAATTGGAGAATGAAGCGAGCATTCCTCGCTGCTTCAGTGGAAAATGTCGTGGGGGTTTTCCTTCTTGAGCATGTTCTGTGCTTCCACAAGCCGGAACTCCCCAGTCTCGCTGGCCTTAGGGTCCCCAAGAATGGATTCGTGTGTCTTCCCCCTTTTCTTGCTTTTAGGTAGTGGAATTATCTTAGTGAACATTTAAAACCTGTTTGCGAATGGTTCTAAGTCAAGTAGTTTGCATATAATTATGGTCCTGATGGGAAAACACTTTGGAAAAACAACTAGTGATACAATGCAAGTCCCGCTCAGGTTACATAGCATATGCTAAACACTAAGGAAACACTCTCGGTCTTTAGTGAACAAGGTAGGGGAAGGCTCCAGGGAGCCAATTTAGAATGTGACTTAAGGCAAGCGTGGCTTTTTGTGTCTCTTTCTTTTGGCAAGTGTGTTGAGTAGCGGTGGTCCCTGGAACTCCACAGGAGCCCTGCCACCTACCTGGGGGGGGGGGGCCGCCCTGCACACATCTGTACGAGGTGGGTGTCCGGAGAGGGGCAGGTTGAACATGAGGGCTCAGCAGGAGGCTCTGGGTGAGCAAGGCTTGGTGGAGACTGTGGTCACTGGGCTGGTGCTCAACTGGAAGTTGCACCAGGGATAATTTAATGGTGTAGGATGTGGAGGGAGAGTTATGCACAGGCAGGGAGGGGGAGAGAATCAACAATTTGTGGATGGAGAGTTCAGGAGGAATGCAAAAGAAACTGTAGATGATCCACTTAAGAGACAAGTGATTCCTAAATATAGAACTGTCTTTATGATTCATGGTTGGGGTTGCTTTTGAGGCGGTAAGTCAGGTGGATTATCTATAGGAATAATTTGAGGGTACTTGAGATTTCGACATGTGGGTCTGAACACCAGGAAACGCGTTGGTGTTCAGGTTACGTTCCTCCTCCTCCTATGAGTATCTTCTGGCTATTTAACCTGAGTGTGTTCATGCCTGTGTAAATTTGGCTTGTGTCCTGCGTTCGTGCTAGCTTGGTCCCCCGCCTCTGCTTGTATGAATGAAGATGCCACAGCCCAGTGTCTGTGTGTGCGGCCTTCCCACTGCCGTTCCCGGAGGCAGCTGGCACCCAGGTTGCACCCGAACAGGAGCCAAAGGCAGTCCCGGTTCTAGCTGGTTCCAGTTTTCAGGGACAGCACTGTTTATTTTTCCACAGTCGTTACTGGGTTTTTGTTTTGGTTGTGATCACCTTTATATCCCTCTAAACTAACTCATCCAATCAGAACTGGAGAGAAAAATGATTCAAAAAATCATTTAAAAATACCTACTTTTAAGGTGAATTCATCCAAGTCATCAGATAGGTGCTCACACCCCCACACTCATTTGGCCACAACTGCTGGCCTTTTCCAGGGCTTATGTGTTTGATTTGGTAACAACTATGTGTGAAAACATAAGATCTACCTGCCGACAATTCTTTGTGGATACAAATCTCTAGGCATGTCCCCGGAGTGCACCTTTTTGGCCTGCCAACCCCTGGAATATACATTGAAGTTAAACTGAGTTGAGTAATGATAATGCTATGGCCTATAGCATGAACTGAAGAAAATTCAAGATGTCTGTCATCCTTCTATTACCTCAGGTAAATAACTGATTGACCTTTTTGGGGCCCTGATACTTGACTAATCAGAACCTGAAATCTGTATAACAACACTTCATTTACTTGATAGACAAAAGAACAATTGCACTTGAAGTAATGTGATTTCTAAATAGACACTGCCTGTCAAAAATAAATGCATTAGAAGTAAAATGTAGCTCAAGGAGACAATTAGCAAACAGAGGTGACACCGTAAACAGGTGCACCCATTATTCCCAAAGCTTGTGGCAATATATTCGCGTCTTTTAGAGTGATGGAAGATCATGTGACGGTTTGGTGAATTATCTATCGGTATCATCTGACTGATGAAGCCCGCTGCTGTTGCAGAACATTTAAAAATGCATCTCACAAATTACATGGTAGGTGGGAAAAATGCAGGGTTTTTTTTTTTTTCTTTTTTTTAAAGAACAATGCTTTTCTAAAGCTATGTGCTAGCATACGTAATTTTTTCTTTGAAAGGATGGAGACCATTTCATTATGCTGGGTATACAGTCGGTTAAGGTTGTGCAAATTCATTACAATGTTTGTTAATGTATAAAACATTTTCCATTCTGGTTTTAGTGACATTGGATTTTTTTTTTTTTTTTTTTTTTTTATAATGTGCCGTTTCTGAAACATCTGCCATCCCCTTGTTACCTGTGGGCAGAGGAGAGAGAATGCACTCTTTCTAAGAATGTTTAGAAAATCTTTTCCAAAATGGAAAGGCTTGGGAGATAAGAGGGAAAGGACAGCTTTTTCTGTGAATGGTTAGGTTGGAATTTTCTGGGATAGGAACTTTATGCAATAGGCAAAGGGGGGCTGTGAGCAGCCGCTCAATATGCCAGGAGAGGAAAGGCCTGGCTTCCTGGGGGCCTTTCTGTGCCCTGTGTTTGCACACCCTGTACTGAGCACTGCCTGCAGAGTACATGCTTCTGGAAGCTCTCCCTGTTTTCTCTCTCTCTCTCTTTCTCTCTCTTTTTTTTTTTTTTTTTTTTTGCTAAAGCATAAGAGACGCTGGAGGAACCCATCACTTTGGCAGTTACTATTTCTTCTTGTTGCTATATAATCACAGGAAAACAGTGTGAAATATTTTATGTGACCTCCAAATTCATCTGCCCTTGACTTTTCCCAGCCCTCCTCCAGAATAACCAGTAGCTGGAGCTAAAGCTGATATGGATTTAGGGATAAAGTTCACCAGAATAGCTGTATTTTGATCACACCCTCTGCCCAGATAGAGAAATGAGCAAAATCCCACCATTCCCTCTCCATGTTCCCAGCACCCTCCACGTTCCTGCTAGTTTTTAGCTGGGGAGGTGGCTGAAGTCCATTTTCACACCTCTGTCTGGTCTCTCATACATTACAGCACTTTTTGAAGCATCCAAGTTTCTGTCTTGGAGACTGAAGAAGTGAGAGTCTCCACTTGTGAGAGTAACCACCTCGTGAGGTGGAAATGGTGGGAAGAGCTCCTTGCCCTATCTGTCCTAGGAGACAGACTCCAGGAAGCGGTTATAGGCCTGACTGACCGATGCTCTTCTCCAGAGACACAAGTCCATACATTTTGTGAATTAAAATAGCAAGAGTAACAACAACCCCTGCACAGAAGTAAGAAACTGGCGGAATGAGGTCTCCAGCCTTTGGGATCTGTTTCGTTGAAAGCCAAGAGCACTTCTTGAAGAGCTGCCCAAGCAGCCTCTCTGGGAATTTTTTGGACATCAGCTCATCAGAGAAGTGGCGGCCAGAAGGCTTCTGAAGGATCCCAAATCTCTAAGCACTGGAGAGATTTCCTGATTTGCAGAAGTGGAAATACTCCAGCTAGGGAAGAGGGGTTCACTGGGCTTCCTCAAGGTTGTTCTTTCCTCTTTTCTTTTTTTTTTCCTCTGTAAATTAATAGATAGGTAAACTTCCTATCCCAGAACTTTGTAAATTATTTTTTGAGCAGTTTTAAGTATCCAAAAAAATGGAGCAGGAAGTACAGAGTTCCGGTGTATCTCCTGCCCCCTCCCTATTAAAAGACATTTTAGTTGTTTTCCAACTTTCCTCTGCTATTAAATTTGTGTTAGTGTGGCACTTTTGTTATAATTGTTGAACCAATATTGATACATTATTATTAATGAAAGTTCATAGTTTATATTCAGGCTCACTCTTTGTACTGGACATCTTATGGGTTTTGACAACTGTATAATGACTTGTATCCATCATTACAGTACCATACAGAGTAGTTTCACGGCCCTAAAAATCCCCTGAACTCCACTCCCTCTTCCCCTGAACCTCTGGCAACCCCTGGTCTTTTTCCTGTCTCCCTTGTTTAGCCTTTCCCAGAATGTCCTGTATTTGGATTCGTATGACGTGTAGTCTTTTAATATTGGCTTCTTTCACTTAGAAATATGCATTTAAATTTTCTCCATGTCTTTTCATAGTTAGACAGCTCATTTCTTTTTATTGCTGAATAATATTCCATTATATGGATGTACCACAATCGAGCTATTCACCTCTTAAAAGACATCTTGGTTGCTTCCAAGTTTGGGCAATTGTGTGATTCATAATAACATTCAATAAACATTCTGCTATAAACATTTATGTGCAGTATTTTGTTTTTTTACTTTTTACTTTTTAAGAGACAGGGTCTTGCTTTGTTGCCCAGGCTGGAGTGCAGCAGTATAATCATAGCTCACTGCAGCCTCGACCTCCCAGGCTGAAGCAATCATCCTGCCTCAGCATCTTGAATGCAGGTGTGCACCACTATACCTGGCTAATTTTAAAATTTTTTGTAGAGACAGGGTCTCACTATGTTGCTGAGAATGGTCTTAAACTCCTCAGATCAAGTGATCCTCCTGCCTCAACCTTGTGAAGTGCTGGTATTATAGGCATGAACCACTGCATCCAGCCATGCAGATTGTGTGTGTGTGTGTGTGTGTGTGTGTGTGTGTGTGTATACCTAAGTTTCAACTCATTTGTATAAACATCAAGGAACATGATTGCTGGATTGCTTGATAAGACAATATTTAGCCTTGTAAGAGACTGCCAAACTGTCTTCTCACGTGGTTTCCCCCTAGCAGTGAATGAGAGTTCCTGTTGCTCCACGTCCTCCTCAGCATTTCATGTTGTTGGTGTTTTGAATTTTAGCTGTTGTGATAGGGGTGTAGTGGTATTTCATTTTTGTTTGAATTTGCAAGTCCCTGGTGACATAGGATGCTGAGCATCTTTTCATATGCCTATTTGCTGTCTATATATCTTCTTTGGGGACGTACCTGTTCAGATCTTTTGCCCATTTTTAAATTGGGCTGTTTGTTTCTTACTGTTGAGTTTTAAGAGTTCTGCATAGGTCAGATACCAGTCCTTTATCAGATATGTGTTTTGCAAAGACTTTCTCCAATGTGTAGGTTGTCTTTTCATTCTTTCTCAACACCTGGGGAAACTAAGCTACTTTAGCCAGTGGCTGATATTTTTATGTGGCCAAGCGGCATCTATTTGCATTTGAAACCTGAGATTTTGAGAAATTTGAAGTCAAAGGTACACATGATGTATGTTCTTAACTATGTTCACAAATACACACACATAAATGTACACATGTGTTCGTTAACACATAAATGCATGCATATATGTGCAAGAATGGAAAGAAATGCACCAAAATATCCACAGCCATTATATCAGTTAATAGAATTGTGGATTATTATTTTCCTCTTTCTAATATCTTGTATATTCCTAATTTTCTACAAATGAGCATATATAACTTGAATAACCAATTTTAAAAAGTAAAAAGTAATGAGATGAAAGAAAAAGTGACCCCTATAAAGGAGATACCCAGATAGTTCAGTTAGAAGTGGTGTAACTTTCGTTTCAGCTTCAGAGAAGATCAGTGGGACCAACATTTTAAGTGATATCGATGATAATACATGTTCTCTAAAATCCTGCTTCAGAAAACAAGAGAATTTTTAGTATGACCAAATTTGACTGTCAAAATACCAGATTATTCTGCTAAGCTCAGAATCTGCACTACACAATAGAAATCTAGTGCAAACCACAAATGCAAGTCATGCATGCATTTTTGAATTTTCTAATAGCCACATTCTATTTTGTTTAATTCAGTGTATCCACAATATTATCATTTCAACACGTAAAAAGTATAAAGAATATTAATGAGACGTTTTCCATTCTTCCAAATGCAATTTGTATTTTACACTCACAAGCACATCTCAATTTGGACTGGCCAGATTTTAAGTGCTCAGTTGTCATGTGTGGCCTGTGGCTACCAGCTTGGTCAGTGCAGTTCTATGTGGTGGCAGGATGTATCTTTTTTCTTTCCAACTTTTATTTTAGGTTTAAGGGGGTACATGCACTGGCTTGTTACATGGGTAAGTTGTGTGTCACGGAGGTTTGGTGTATAGACCATTTCGTCACCCAGGTAAATCAGCATGATACCTGCTAGATGTCTGAACATTCGAGTGATATTTATCAAGCAGAATATCAGCACAGCAAGCAGCATTTCCTGTGGTAGCACAGGTGGAACAGAAAACAACACTCCAGTTTCCAGTTATTTTACATCTCTCCTTCAAGATGCATTACTTCATAGATAACTTGGGGTTTGATGATGCTATGAAGTACTTTGTGTAAAGCGATACAGACGTTGAGTTCATGTGGTGATATAATATATTAGAAAGCCTTTATAATTTTCTGGATTTTCCCCCCTGTTTGCATCATTCCATCTCTGGGGGCCAGAATTGTCTTGGTTTTGCTGTCCTGTTGAGTCTTGAGCTAAGTGGGGTCTTCATCCTTGTGGATGGGGTGAGAGATCCAGGGCAAAGACACTGGGTGGAGTGAGGTTCAGGGAGAGCCTGCCAGGCACTGACTACTGGAGAACATGGCCTCTGGGGAATCTGGGGGACTCCATCCTGACTGTGGTTAGGCTCTGGAAATCTACCAGCTTGGCGGCTTGATAACCGGTGCTCCTTGGCCTTGTAGAAAATGCCTGCATCTAGTTTGCACTTCTTACCCTAAGAACACTGACC